GTTGTTGTCTTGCCTATATACGGGGTTTTTTGGAGCTTACAGTCTCCAAGAGGGCATTTCTTACTTTTTCGGTCATATTTAATAATATATATATATATATATATATATATATATATATATATATATATATATATATATATATATATATATGCGAACAAGCCTGTATGGTCCCCAGGACAATATGCAACTGAAAACTCACACCCCAGAAGTGACTCGAACCCATACTCCCAGGAGCAACGCAACTGGTATGTACAAGACACCTTAATCCACTTGACCATCACGACCGGACAAAATGAGGTGATAGCCGAGGCTATTTGAACCACCCCACCGCCGGCACTCGGATAGTAATCTTGGGCATAGCATTTTACCAAATCACCTCATTCTTTGGGGCACACGTGAGGAACACAAATGCGAACAAGCCTGAATGGTCCCCAGGACAATATGCAACTGAAAACTCACACCCCAGAAGTGACTCGAACCCATACTCCCAGGAGCAACGCAACTGGTATGTACAAGACGCCTTAATCCACTTGACCATCACGACCGGACAAAATGAGGTGATAGCCGAGGCTATTTGAACCACCCCACCGCCAGCACTCGGATAGTAATCTTGGGCATAGCATTTTACCAAATCACCTCATTCTTTGGGGCACACGTGAGGAACACAAATGCGAACAAGCCTGAATGGTCCCCAGGACAATATGCATCTGAAAACTCAGTTGAGTTTTCAGTTGCATATTGTCCTGGGGACCATTCAGGCTTGTTCGCATTTGTGTTCCTCACGTTCAAATAGCCTCGGCTATCACCTCATTTTGTCCGGTCGTGATGGTCAAGTGGATTAAGGCGTCTTGTACATACCAGTTGCGTTGCTCCTGGGTGTATGGGTTCGAGTCACTTCTGGGGTGTGAGTTTTCAGTTGCATATTGTCCTGGGGACCATTCAGGCTTGTTCGCATTTGTGTTCCTCACGTGTGCCCCAAAGAATGAGGTGATTTGGTAAAATGCTATGCCCAAGATTACTATCCGAGTGCCGGCGGTGGGGTGGTTCAAATAGCCTCGGCTATCACCTCATTTTGTCCGGTCGTGATGGTCAAGTGGATTAAGGCGTCTTGTACATACCAGTTGCGTTGCTCCTGGGAGTATGGGTTCGAGTCACTTCTGGGGTGTGAGTTTTCAGTTGCATATTGTCCTGGGGACCATTCAGGCTTGTTCGCATTTGTGTTCCTCACGTGTGCCCCAAAGAATGAGGTGATTTGGTAAAATGCTATGCCCAAGATTACTATCCGAGTGCCGGCGGTGGGGTGGTTCAAATAGCCTCGGCTATCACCTCATTTTGTCCGGTCATGATGGTCAAGTGGATTAAGGCGTCTTGTACATACCAGTTGCGTTGCTCCTGGGAGTATGGGTTCGAGTCACTTCTGGGGTGTGAGTTTTCAGTTATATATATATATATATATATATATATATATATATATATATATATATATATTGATATATATATATATATATATATATATGACAGTGTCAGACCACGGAGGAGAGGAAATTCCTGTTTCAATTTCCTCCGTGGTCTGACACTGTCACATTTTTAATCACGCACGTGTTTATTTTCGTAATACACACATATATATATATATATATATATATATATATTATATATATATATATATATATATATATATATATACAAGATTGATGCCCATGATGCTCTCTTTCTCCTCACAAGATGCCTGTCTCTCCCTAAGTTGACCTACTTTCTGAGATGTTCTCCATCCTACAGCAGCCCTAAGTTAAATGTGTATGACACCCTTCTGAGGTCCATGCTGGTGAAAGTCCTGAACCTGCCATTGGACGACTCTCAGTGGGAGCAAGCAACCCTTCCTGTAAGACTCGGCGGCCTTGGTGTCCCTACAGCTTTCCAAATTGCTCTACCAGCCTTCCTTTCCTCCTCCCACGCATCGCACGACCTCGTCAGAGATATCTTACCTGTAACCCTGAGAGATTCAGCAGGAATACACGATCCTGCTTTCACTGAATGTTCAAATCAGTGGGATGTTCTTGCAGCCCCAGCAACCATTATAGAGCCAACAAAACAACACAAACAGTCCGGCTGGGACCACCCTCTAGTGGAAAAAGATGCCACTGCTCAGCGCCGTAACATCAGACAAGGAGAAAGCCCGCCTCAGCAGTGCGTGCCCCCCATGCAGGAGACTTCCTCCTGGCAGTACCCATGTCAGCAAGGGGCACGCGCCTAGATCCAGAATCCCTTCGTGTAGCAGTGGCCCTCCGCCTTGGTGCCCCAATTCACACTGAATACAAGTGTATTTGCAACAGGGTGGAAGCAGACCAATACGGACTGCATGGGTTGCATTGCGGAAGCACAAAGGGCTGGCATGCAAGACACAACGAGGTCAATGACATCATCAAGAGAAGCCTCGTCTCAGCTAGGTGCCCAGTGGAGAGAACCTCGCATCCTAGGGGTCCAAAACCCGGATTTCCCTGCACTTCGCCCTGATGGCATCACCATATCCTCATGGAAGGAGGGTAGACAGTTGATGTGGGACTACACATGTGTATCCACCCTGGCTGACACCTATGTACACTTCGGAGCTGATCAAGCAGCTGGGGCGGCCAACCACAGGGAAACAGCAAAATCACTCAAGTACAGGCGACTGGAAGGTCAATACCTCTTGTTCCCAAAGCGTCTGAGACGCATGGCCCCTGGGGCAAGAGTGCCTTGGGATTTCTCAAGGAATTGGGTTCCAAGCTCATTGACGTCACCAGAGACCCAAGGGCTTCCAGTTTTTTGTTTTAGCGCCTCAGTGTGGCGATCCAGAGGGGAAATGCTTGCTTCGTCCTCGGTTCCTGTCCGGAAGCGGAGGAGCTTCAAGAGATCCATAACCTTTAGGCATTTGCCTTGTATGTTTTGTAACCTTTAAATACACAATAAAGCAAAAAAAAAAAAAAAAAAAAAAAAAAAAAAAAAAAAAAAAAAAAGAGGGAGGGGGTGGTAGGAGAAAAGCACACAGAAACTGTATTGGAGGGGACCTACATTCACTCCAATGCGTTATGTGTGGTTTTCTCTGAAGCTATGGGTCCCCCCTTCTTCCAGCCAGAGGTGGTACTCCCTTCGTTATTTATATATATATATATATATATATATATATATATATATATATATATATATATATATATATATATATATATATATATATATATAAATATACGGGATATATAGACGGGAAATGACGGGAAAGTGTTGGAGTATTGATGTTCGGCAGTCCTCCAATGGCAGGTGTCAATGCCTGGTCACACTTATAAAAAAAAGATAGACTGCTTGCCTGTTGTCTGTGGTAAGTGAGAGGGAGGAACACGTAAAACACAAAGTATGAACAATGAAACTTTAATATATTTACTTTAAACATAAATGAAAATAAAGACAAAATCTCGGGGGAATGAAAAGTACAATTAAGTAACAAAGATAAATGCAAAGACAATGTGAGACACAATAGTATAAAGGTGAAATAGTAAAATGGTGCTGAGAATATCGGCAATGGCTGAGACCTCCCTTCGTATACAAGCCAGTAGCTTAGTATGCCAGAGAGAGATGTCAACTCTAAGAGCACAAAGAATATTCTGAAGTTGATAGCTGCTCAGGGCTCCGACGTCGATTCAGGTAGATCGCACGGAGGTGCAGTGTGCAGGTGCGCGGTCGGCGAGTCACCAATCAGGAGCAGGCAGGCTGGAATCGGTAGTTTGCTGGTTGACGACAAGCCGGCGTGGAGGGTGTGTGGAGTAGGGGGGTTCTTGAGTACGTTTTGCCTCCTGGTCAAAACGTTTTGTGCTACCGGTGGACGTATCTTGAATGTAGCATCTTATACTTGTTAACTGGACGTAACTTGAGGTAGGGAAGAGCAGGCTCAATCTCTCTAGAAAGAGATTATCATCACAATATATATATATATATATATATATATATATATATATATATATATATATATATATATATATATATATAACCTAACCTAACCTATCTTTTTCGGCCACCTAACCTAACCTAACCTATTAAGATAGGTTAGGTTAGGTTAGGTAGGGTTGGTTAGGTTCGGTCATATATCTACGTTAATTTTAACTCCAATAAGAAAAAATTGACATCATACATAATGAAATGGGTAGCTTTATCATTTCATAAGAAAAAAATTAGAGAAAAAATATTAATTCAGGAAAACTTGGCTTATTAGGCAAATCGGGCCTTGCATAGTAGGCTAAAGAGTGCGTTCTGGCTACTAGGTACGACATATATATATATATATATATATATATATATATATATATATATATATATATATATATATATATATATATATATATATATATATATATGAGACTGACAATGACTGTCACTGGTGGAGCTCGACGAGGCTCTGTCCTTTGTTCCCCAATGACAGTAAAAACGTAAGTGTACATTTTGTTCATGCAGCGCGGCTCTCAAGCATCTGAGCTTTATAATTTGCGGCTCTTACAATAAGCAAGTTTAGGTACCCGTGTGTTCTTTTAAGGGATAAAGCCTGGGCTTCTAGCAACCCGTCCTCTTAAAAATAACGTCGTTTTTCGCTCGTATGCATGCTATGGCCAAACATGGACGTAATTTGAAATGAAATCGGCTCACGAAAGTGATGTACTGTCCCGTTTTCTGTATGAGTCCTCTGGCTTACTCGGTTAGGTTAGGAGAGGAAACTTCAATTAATGTTTTTTATGACTTTTGAAACCTTAGCAGAATTTCCTGCTATTTTAACCTAACAGAGGATCCTTAACTTACTGTTTCAAAAAATCCAAAAATTATTTTTAAAAAATTTTCATTTTCAAATTACGTCCATTTTTGGCCAAACAGGCAAATCGCCAAATTTAGATGTAATTTGTAAGAGGACAGGTTGGTGCGTGTAACTTTTTTTTTTGTACTTATTGCTACTATGGACTGAGCTACACTGATTATCAGCCTACCGTGAATGATGTCATCGTAGATGTTCTGGTTGACCATTCGTTCCATAATCCTGGTAGGGCGGAGAATGCGACCCAAACCTCCTCCCTCCTCGGCTGAGTCTGTGTGTGGGGGTGTAGTAGACGCAGCTGCGGCCGTGTGGGGAGTGACCCATGATGACTGTGTAGAGTGAGGCAGTCCAGCCATAGGTCACGAAAATTATAAAGTAACATTAATGTTTATACAGTCAACTATAGCAATGTACCTACTGTAAATATCTATCAATCTATCTGTTTAATATATTTATTATTGAATGTGACCGAAAGGGTGAGATCAATGATTCTAGCACGAATCTTCTCTATTTTCCTTACATTTTTCTTCACTTGAGGAGGAAGTGGAAAAATGATATATCCAAAGTAAATTTTTTACAGTTTTATTTGGCCTGACACTAATAGGTGCATTTTGCTAACTCTTGTTATCATTGTCAAAGGCAGTGTTTGAATGATTACTAAGGGTGGTGAGTCCCACTGCATGGTAGACCTTCAGTTTGGTGGAAAGGCTGAGGCTCCTCTGCTCCCAAACAGTCTCATGGAATTTTCTAAAGGCAGTGCTAGCCTTGGCGATCCTGTTGTTGACTTCTGTATCTATGTTCACTGCTCCTGAGAATATGATGCAGAGATTGGTGAAGTTGTCTGCTTGTTCTGCCCTTGACAGTGATGTGTGGTTCCTGGTAGGGTATTCTGGGTGTGGGTTGGTACACGACTGAAGTGTTTCTTTTTTTTTTTGTTTTTCAGTGATATTCCTGCGCGGGCTTTTTGGTGCTGATGATGAGACCGAAGTTGCTTGTGAGAAGCAGCCCATTTCGCGCTGCTCATTTGTTCTGTGCTGGTGTTGAGGGCGCATTCATCAGCGAACACGAAGTCTCTTATGACAGCTTCCTTCACCTTTGTAACGATTTGTAGGCGGCTGAGGTTGAACAGCCTACCGACAGTCCTGTATCTGATGGTTATTCCATCCTGGCAATGAAAGAAAGCATCAGTGAGCGTGGCCGAGAATACCATGATGAAGAGGGTTGGGGCGAGAACGCAGCCCTGCTTCTCACCGTTCGTCACTGGGATGACTTTTTGTCTCCATCGTCCAGTACTTTCGTCATCATGCCATCGTGGAACTGCTAGGCAATCGCAGTGAATTTGCCAGGTAAGCCAAACTTCTCTATTATCTTCCACAAGCCATTGGAAGGATACTGCTGACCGTATCGAAGGCCTTGGTCAGGTCGGTAAAGGTCACGTAGAGGTCGCTATGTTGCTCTTGGCATTTTCTTGAAGCTGGCGTTCAGTAAATATCACATTGATAGTTCTACGTTCTGTGCAGAAGCCACATTAGCTTTCTGGGAGGAGACCCTGCTCAAGGTGTTGAGGGAGAAGTTGAGCAGGATACGAGCCAAGATCTTCCCAGTGATGGACAGGAGTTAAATACTATGGCGATTATTGCAAGACTGCCAGTCGTCTTTCCTCTTGTAGATGTGAACTCTGCTGGCATTACACACAGAGATCACATTAACGTGATGCATCAAATGAACAAATCCACAAGGGTCGTGATGAGGATTCGAACCTGCGTCCAGGAGCATCAGTCGATTAAGGCTGTGTCTGGGATGCTCCTGGACGCAGGTTCGAATCCTCGTCACGGCCCTTGTGGATTTGTTCATATGCTGGCATCATTTAACTCCTATGGGACCTTCTCTTCATTCCACATGATCTGGAAGAGCTTATTCAATTTCTGCATCATGGCCAGGTCTCCTGTTTTGTTCACTTCAGCAAGGATTGCATCTGATCCTGGCACTTTGCCACAGGAAAGCTGCTTGATGGCCTAATTCTTCTTCTTCTTCTTCTTCTTCTTCTTCTTCTTCTTCTTCTTCTTCTTCTTCTTCTTCTTCTTCTTTTTCTTCTTCTTCTTCTTCTTCTTCTTTTTTCTTCTTCTTCTTCTTCTTCTTCTTCTTCTTCTTCTTCTTCTTCTTCTTCTTCTTCTTCTTCTTCTTCTTCTTCTTCTTCTTCTTCTTCTTCTTCTTCTTCTTCTTCTTCTTCTTCTTCTTCTTCTTCTTCTTCTTCTTCTTCTTCTTCTTCTGTGGAAGATTTATCAAGGTCTCGGTCGATCTCCACTTGAGATAGGCGAGCAATGAATGGACCGAACAAATACAAAGAAAATAGCAATACATCGTTGATTGAGTCAGGGTAGTTAAGGACCTGATCAAAGTGTTCAACCCATCTATCCAAGATCTGCTTAGTCTTTGTCAACAGTTGAGTCCCATCTGCACTGAGGAAGGAACCAGAGGGCTGTGGTCCATATATAACCTTCAAAGCATCACAGAAACGTTAGTTGTGACTGTGTAACCTTGGATTTCATTGGTCTTCTTGCTAAACCATGCATCCTGCATCTCACAGAGTTTCCTATGCACTATTCTTCTAACATTGGCAATGGCATCTTTCTTCCCTTGTGATGTTGGGTCATTCTGGTGTGAATAATAATAATAATAATAATAATAATAATAATCTTTATTTAGGTAAGGTACATACATAAAGAGATTTACAAAGTTTGTTGGCTTTATAGATAGAGCTAGTACATATAATGCCTAAAGCCACTATTACGCAAAGCGTTTCGGGCAGGAAAAACATTAATGACTACAGCTTAAAACTAATGGGTAAAAAGAAAAGATGTGATGAGTACATATAAAAAATAGAGGTAAAAGAGGGGGAACATTGTTGAAAAAGCAGCACAAATACAATTACAAATTATTACAGAAAATTACATTCAAACAGCGTTGATTTGAAAAACAAATAAACAAAAAATATACATGGGTTGACAACAGGGGGGTAAGGTGGGTTACATGGAATTTATTAGGTATAGCTTCGTTTTTAACTTAAACTGGTTGAGAGAGGTACAGTCTTTAACATGGTTGGGAAGGTCATTCCACATTCTGGGCCCCTTGATTTGTAGAGCATTTCTGGTTTGATTTAGTCGTACTCTAGGAATATCAAAACTGTATTTATTTCTGGTGTGGTGCTCATGGGTTCTGTTACAACCTTCTATGAAGCTTTTGAGATCAGGATTGGCATTATAGTTTAGCGTTTTATATATGTATAATACACATGAGAGAATGTGCAGTGACTTAATGTCTAACATATTCAGGGATTTAAGTAGGGGTACCGAGTGATGTCTGGGGCCAGAATTGGATATTGTCCTAATAGCAGCTTTGTGTTGAGTAATTAGAGGACGTGAGTGAGTTTGGGTAGTAGAACCCCAAGCACAAATACCATAGTTGAGATATGGATAGATGAGGGAGTAATAGAGAGTCACCAGGGCAGGGCGTGGTACATAATATCTGATCTTAGAAAGAATGCCCACAGTTTTTGAAACTTTTTTTGATATGGAACAGGTGATTTTTTTTTTACAGTATCTGTATCTTCTCATCGTTTTCGTCGAACCAGTCCTGACTTCTGCAGGTTGCTGGTCCGAGGTGCTCAAGCGCAGTTGAGTAGACTAAATCTCAGAAAGCTGCCCACCTCACCTGAATGCTGTTCTGGCAATTCTGGGGTGTCTAGCATCGTGCCTTCTAGGGTGTTGAAGAAGCTGTCAGCAACTTTCCTGCTCTTCAGCTCAGAGACATTGAGTCGCTTTACAGTGTTCTGACTTTGGGGTCTTCACTTGGGTGGGATGCTAAGTTTGCACTTGGACACAATGAGGCGATGTTCAGTCCAGCAGTCGGCACCACACTTGGCCTTAGTCACTCTCACGTCCTGCCTGCCTTTCTTCCTGGAGATGACATAATTAATCAGATGTCAATGCATAGAATGTGAGCACATCCATGATGTCTTGTTGTGGGTGGGAAAGTGAAACTATGTTGGTGACGATGAGGAGGTCGTACATAGCACACAACGTGAGGAGCAGAAGGTCATTGCTGTTGCACTTGCCAGTGCCATATCTTTCTATGATCCCTTCCTTGCTCTGGTAATGTGTCCCAACTCGGGCGTTGAAGTCCCCTGAGGATAATAAACTTCTCTAATTTTGGGATTGTTACAATGAGGTTGAACTCATAGAACTTTTCCTTGATGTCATCCGGGTTGGTTATGGTCAGGGCATACGCACTGATCAGCGCAGCACTCCTTTTGTTTCCAAGCAAGAGCTGAAGCGTCATTAGGCGATTGTTGATGACGGCCGTTTGTGGCCGAGATGAGATCTGATGGCAAATTTAACGCCAGCTTCTCGTCGTTCGGCGCTTCTCCGACCACTCCAGAAAAGGTGTACCAACCATCACGTTCTGTAATCTGGCCTTTGTCAGCCAAACGTGTTTCACTGAGTGCTGCTACGTCCACACTGTAGCACGCTAGTTTCTTTGCAGCCAGGATAGTTCGCCTTTAAGGTCTGTCTGCCTTGGTGTTATCCAGCAGAGTTTGAACGTTTCAAGTACCGAGACTGAGCGCCCTCACTTTTTTCTTTGTATTTGTTTGACCATTATGGGAGATCCTTGCCAGCCGCGCCTTGCTAGTCAGGGTGAATTGAAGCAGGCTATGTTTAATGCACCTTTTCTAGCTCCTTCCTCCATGGAGGTGAGCAGTGTGTGTTCTGAAGAGAGCTGCTCAGACACCCAGGGGCTGTCATACTCCACAGGTGCTTCGGTCCAGTAGAGAGCGACCCTATGCCCTAAGCCGGTCTATGACTACAGCTTGTGGATGTGGTCTATGACTACAGGTGTGGATACACTGGAAGCGTATCCACACTTACTGCTTCGCCGCTCGTCCATCGCCACAGGACTTGTGGATGCACAGTATGGGTTGAAGTCATGACTTGTGCTTGACTGGGATTAAAGTGAGGGAGAGTTGTGCAATTCGTCAGCCTCACTCGTCCAGTGGCAAGATAACTAGAGACGGCAGGAGATAGATTAGGATGCAGTGGATGGCCAGCAGTGTCCGCTGTGCCCTAGTTGTGTTCCACACTGCCCTGCTGGTCCGCCTTCCTGCCTGTTGAACCATTATGGTGGTTTCCTTTGCATAGGTCACCGGCTTCAGTCTTCACATGCGTAGGTAGACAAGCCTTAGTATACCGAGGGTCTCAAACCTCTCGGCTACCCGGCTTCAGCTATAATTCGGTATTGATATATAATACCTCACCGGTTATACATCAAGTAGATAATAATGTCAATGTTAACAAGAGCAAGAGTTAGCAAAACGCAACTCTTAGCATCAGGCCAAATAAAGCTGTAAAAATGAACTTGTTATTTTTTAACTTCCTTAAGTGAAAAAATGTAAGGAAAATAGACAGGATTTGCGCTAGAATCCTTGATCTCGCCTTTTATGTCACATTCAGTGACACTTTACATAAACACTTTGGCACTATGAGGCTTCATTAGGCACTGAGGAGGTGGTTCAAGTCTCCTAGTGCCCAAGTGTTTATTTCGAAGATAGTGTGGTTGACGGTTTATATGACGTTGACCACTTATTCCCACGTACTTAATAGCTGCTGGCAAAAGAAAAAAAATTCAAGTGGGCAGCGGATTGTTGCTTTTGAACTCTTGTTTATTGCAGCTGTCACATAGTACAGTGGAAGAGCTGCCTCACACTATTTTGGTCAGCAGTTCAAGTCTCATAGTGCCCAAGTGAGGGAGGGAATTATCAGGGAAAAGCGCCAAGCCACTACAACCATATAGCACTTGGAAGGCGTGAGGATAAGGATTTGGGATGGGACGGGGGAAAAAGAATGGTGCCCAACCACTTCTACGGTCGGAAATTGAATACTGACTTGCATGAAGCGAGACTGTTGCTCTATCATTCAGACCAAGTGGTTGGGCTAGGCCCAAGTGAATGATATATATATATATATATATATATATATATGTGTGATGGAAAAAATGTAGATGTATGGCAGTCCTTCTAATGGCTTGTGTCAATGCCAATCACATTTACAAAAAAAAAAAAAAAAAAAAAAAAAAAAAAATTTGACTGCGTGGCTGTTGCCTCCTGTGGTCAGGTAAAAGGGAAAAACACACACAACAAATCGTATGAACAATGAAACTTTAATTGACTTGAAAACAAATATGAACAAAGATAATCCCTTGGCTATGTACAGTGCAAATTAAACAAGATTACAAAGTAAAAAAATAATAAAATAAAACAATGGTTACGTTACTCTACAATGAACAAGACAAAAAATGAATTAAAAGGTGCCGAGAATATTGGCTGGCTGAAAACCTCCACTATTACACAGAGCGTATACTAGATAGATGTATCAGCCTTGAGAGCACAGAATATTCTAAATCCAATGGCTCGTGCACGCTTAGTCATCGGCTATGCTGATGGCACTGAAGTTGAGTGGAGTCGCCGATTCACCAATGAAAAGCGTGCTGGCTGGAAGTGGTAGTTTGGTGATCGACGAGGGTGTTGTGGTGACAGCGAGGAGGGGGGAGGTGGAGAGCGAGTGTAGGGTACGTATACCCCCTGTAGAAACGTATTCTACTAAATATATACTACTCTTTATTGTAGTATCTAGATGTACTGAAGTAACATGATGAAGGAAAGAGCAGGCCAAATCTCTTTAAGATTATCGTCACAGCTCTCCCCCGAAGCCTGCGCTTACGGGTTAAGTTACTTCAGTAGATGAGAGAGAGGTAGGAGTATCTGTCTCTACCTCGTAGACTCTGGAGAGGGCGTCGGCTATGATGTTGTCCGAACCCTTGATGAAGAAGAGCTCCAGATTAAAATTCTGCAAGTACAGAGCCCAGCATAGAAGAAGTTGATTGCTGAATGGGCCTGTTGCAGGAACCGTAGGGGATTGTGGTCTGAGTAGATGGTAATAGACCGATTTACCTGTAGGTAAGGTTAGAAATGTTGCAAGTTCAGGACGATGGAGAGGAGTTCCTTTTCTATAGTTCTTTTGATGGGGCTTCAACTTTTAAGTGTAGTAGCTGACAGGAAGAACCTCTTCGCCACGTTGTTGCATTAGGACGCCCCCGATGCTGGTGCCACTTGCGTCGACATTGATGACGAAGGGCTTCGTAATATCTGGAGAGGCGAGAACGGGATCAGAACATAGATTTAAGTTGTTCAAAGGGTACGGTCTGTTGAATGGTCCAATGATACCGTTGCTTGGGACTGGTCAGATTAATCAATGGTGTCGCTACCGTACTAAAATTTTTCACAAACCTACAATAGTAAGATGCAAGGCCAAGGAAGCACAGGAGCTGCTTCCTGGTTGTAGGTAATGCTGAATGGCTGAATGTGAATGGTTAAAGGAGCTATGCTGCCACTCCCTATCACATGAGCAAGATAACACACTTTACCTTTAGCAAAGGTGGACTTCCCCAAGTTGATGGTAAGGCCAGCTGTCAGGATCTTTGAGAACAATCGTTGCAGCTGGAGCAGATGTTCGCTCCAGGTGTTAGTTGCCACAACGATGTCATCCAAGTAGGCATAGGTGTGATCTAGGCCGTAGACGACGCGGTTGACAGCTCGCTGGAAGGTGGCCGGGGCGTTACACAGTCCAAAAGGAAGGCGTTCATGTCTGTATAGGCCAAAAGGAGTGGTGAAGGCAGATATTTCCTTAGCTCTCTCTGTCAGGCTGATTTGGTAATAGCCCTTTAACAAATCAATTTGAGACAAATAATTAGCATTTTCTACTGCGTCAAGGATATCATCTATGCGAGGTAAAGGGTAAGCATCCTTGATGGTCACAAGGTTCAGTTTCCTATAGTCGGTACATAGTCGTACTTTACCGTGCGGTTTCGGCACCAAGATGCAGGGAAAGGCCCTAGGGGACTGACAAGGGGTGGCCAGCCCATGATCCAGAAGGTATTGTACTTCAGCACGCATGACTTCCTTTTTGTTCAGGCTGATATGGTAGAAGGGTTGACGAATCGGCCAGGTATCAGGAAGTAGCTGAATGTTGTGCTAAACCACATTACATTCCTGGGGATCATCGCTGAACAACTTCTGATGTTCTTGAAGGACTTTGATGAGAGGAGCACTATTACAGTCTTAAATATTTAGGAAGATCAGTAAGGATTTCAGAGTTGGAAGGCACTGACTCAGTGCTTTCAGAAGGAGAAGCAGGGAAGGTCTCACTGTGGAGGTATGGATCTTTAAAAGTGAAGAGAGATATTAGCACAGTGGAGGGAATACCTTTATACTCCTTCAAAAGATTGACGTGGCACAACTTGGTCCTCCGCCGCCTATCTGGAGTCTCAGGAACGTAGTTGTAGTTTCTGCACTCCTTGATGCGGTAAGGTCCTGAAAACTTATTTTGCAATGGAGAACCAGGGATGGGAAAATATGCCAACACGAAGTCTCGCGTTTTAAATTTCCTGATTTTGCTGCGTTTGTCAAAATGAGTCTTCATCCTATCTCTAGCTTTCAATAAATTATCATTGGCAAATTTACGTACTCTTTAGAATGTGCTTTAAGTTTTGAAGAAACCGAGGCACATTCTGAGGGTCACTGAAGGTGGCACTGTGTAGAGAGTCTTTAAAAGCTTTAAGAGGAGTACGGCACTCACGTCCGTAGAGCATCTCATAAGGAGACACTCCTAGAGACTCATTTGGGAGACTTTTGAAAATGCACATGATGTCAAGTTGTTCATCCCAGTCTCTCATGGTTTCATTGCAAAATTTCTTAAGAAAGTGATTTTATCGTTTGGTGACTACGTTCAAGAGAACCCTATGAAGCAGGATGATAGGGGCTGGACAATACCCGAGTGATGTTGAATTCTTCCAGTGATCACTGGTGAAGTTGGTGCCACAGTCACATTGAATCTCTTGAGGAAATCCATATTGGGTAAAGATCTTCAATAGTTGTTTCACCACCATAGCAGCCGTAATGTTCTTTACAGGAACTGCTATGGGAAATCTGGTTGTTGGACACAGGATGGTTAGTATACAAGCGTTGCCAGAACTGGTCTGGTGTAAAGGACCAACACAGTCTATGACGAGTCTAAAAAGGTTCCAAAGGCACCAGGATAGGAATCAAAGGAGCCTTGGGAATCGGGATGTTAG